GTTCATTCAGCTCCTACACGTATTAGGTGGTTGCAAAGCCGCCCACGAAGTATCTTTTGCCTTTCAGCCCCTCGGTCTACTACGACCCACGTGCGCCCTGGACATGGAAGCCCTCGAAACACTCGACCGGACGCATAGTACACCCCTAACTAACGGACTAGCGGGAAACAATGTGTAGTAGGCGGGACGTGCTTAAAAAGGCATGATCATAGTAATACAGAGCGAATACTCCGTAAGTGTCAAGTGTTACTATGTAACCAGTGCATACTGGAGTTGTTTTCTGTATGTATGTAAGTGCAAGGGTTAGTAACCATGTTGAGAGAATTTGCGGTTGGGTGCGGTTCATTCGTCAACATGGGAAAAGAACAAATAATATCTTAGAATTGGCTAACGTCCTTGTGGGGGATAAGATCCTCCGGAAAGGCAGGAAGCAGTGATTTTTTCAGTGGCGAGTCATAGCCGCCAAGTTAGTGTTGTTAAACAGACATTTGGCTTTTTATAGGGAGAACGCTTGCTAGGCGAAAACCCAACACGTCCTGGAACACCGCCGCCGAACCATTCGCTGAAACAGGATTAACCCGGCCCACCCAGCTGGCACTTAGTGGAGGTTGTTTGGCTAGCCAGCGGCATACAAATATAGATACACAAAAGAATATTAACGTTAAAGCAAAGAAAAACAGTTACTGAAGTGCCAAGCTAAAAATGTGATAACTAAACGATGTATTGGGCGAAAGGATCTTAGGAAGGTTTCAGTTCTTCAGTAAACGCAAAATCTTTCGGAGACAACTCACAGTATAATCACAGTTGCGCTCGAATCGTGGATTGCGCTATATCTGTGGTACACATCGAGCGCGATGGAAATAGACGTTCGATAATAATTCCGCGTCTAATATCCGGTTCGCAGGCAGACTAAAGGGCACCATACACACAGGCAGCACAGCTAAAAACCAGCACGACGGAGCGCGAAAATTGCAAGATTCTATTGTTATCGTTAATTCGAACGAACTGTACAAAAGATGTTATGATAAACTTGCTGATAGGAAAGACAGCATGTGTAATATTAATAACCATTACATAACTTCCCCCGTATAGTGTGAAATGGTAAGGAAAGACTTAATATGGTTATTTAGGGAACAAACGAAGCTAGTTTGGAGGGGAAAGACACAGAACGTCATGAACGTGTGGGCTTGGGAGCATTCGTTGAGCGAGCGCATGAAGTTGCTGGAGCATTGGAATCTGTCGGTTGACCAACAGGGGGTGACAACTTGGGATTAGTCAAAGTAACGGTAGACTCGACATAAGCGGGTTTAAGACAGTCAATACTCATAGATCCCTTCGACCCACTCCTTTCCAGGATGAAATATTTAGGCTTCCATAAAAACACTTTGAAAGGACATTCATAGGGGGTGTCGACGGCTTGCGAACTGCATCAATGCGAATGGAAACTAAATGAAAAGTGTGCAAGTCCGGATGCTTCCGTTGTTCGTGGGCAGTGAAGTGAGTAGACGTACTTCGAATAGTTCGGAAGTGTTGTTTAAGAGGATCGGCGTAGGACACCGGAGCCAGTTTAGCAGGGACACGGGAATCCAAAATCATCTCACCTGGCAGTCTGACCGTAGTGCCAAAGACGAGTTCGGTAGGGCTGCATCCAATATCCTCCTTGACGGTAGTATGGATACCAAGCAGGACGACTGGAATACACTCAGACCAATCTGAGGCAGGTGAATTAACTGTAATGATGGCTTTAAGCTGCCGATGGAACCGCTCGACAGAACCATTCGAGGCGGGATGAGAAGCATTTGTCCGAATGTAGGTAAACCGTACAGACGATCCAAGTCTCGGGACAAGGTGGAACTAAACTGCGATCCTTGATCTGTAGTGATGGTAGATTTCACACCGAAGAAGGAAAGCCATGAGTCGGAAAATGCACGGGCGACAGTTTCTGAAGCGGTATCCAGTAAAGAATGGCATGCGGCAAAAGAGTAAAACGGTCAACATAAGTCAGAATGAAAGTTAAATTGTTCGATGGAGGAAGCGGTCCCACTATGTCTAGGTGGACGTCTAAAATGCGCCTCAGGTAGTGAGAACATTCCGGGGGCAGAGATAGTGTGTCGGTGTACTTTGCTGCTCTGGCAGCTGAGAGTGCTCAGCCTATTGACGGATATCAGAGCGCATATTAGGCTAGATGTAACGAGCAGTAACCAACTGCCCAGCGGATGGAATGATAGGATGAGATAGCCCATGAAAACGTTCAAAGACGGTTCACCGGAAAGACTGGGGAACAAACAGTCTTGGCTTACCAGCAGCGACATCACAGTGAATCCTCGCGTTTGAATTTATTACAGGTAGTTGCAAGAATTTCAACGTAGTATTCGATCGAAGCTGAACGAGTCCAGGATCGTTGTTCCGGGCAACGGACATTTCCTCAAGGTCTGTTGGAAAGGACAAAAGTTATTGTATGTGAGCACGTGAAAGTGCATCGGTGACAACATTGGTTGCACCGTCGAGGTATCAAATATAGGCATAGCTTTGTGAAAGGTAGTCCCGGTGTCGTGTCTCTCTCGGAGATTAGAAGTCGGAAGCGGCACGAAAAGCGTAGACCAAAGGATTGTGGTCCGTCCGGATTGCAAAACGTCGTCCTTCAAGTACGTGACGGAACTGTTTGACTACCAAGTAGCTCGCGAGAAGTTGGCGACCAAAAGTGCTTTATCTTGGTTGTGCTGGCTGTAGCTTCCCGGAAAATAAAGACCGGCTGTATCTCATTGCCGATTAGTTGTTGTACTACAGCACCAACAGCGGATTGTGAGGCCTCCGTCTTGAGAATGAGAATAGCTTTCTCGTCGGTGTCCAAGCAACTCACGGAAGTTAACTGGCTCAAATTCTGCTTGATATCAACAAACGCTGTTTCGGCTTCTGGCGTAATGGTGAACTTCTTTGGATTACCTTTAAGTAAATCAGTCAAAGACTGAAGAACGGCGACACAATTGTCAATGAATCTTCCGTAATACTTAACCACCCCAAGTAATCGGCGCAGGTTTCTAACGGATTGAGGCAGTGGATAGTCCATGGTTGTTTGGGTTTTCTCGGGGATGGGACTAATGCCGTTGCTATTAAGTTTGTGATCAAGAAACTCGACGCGAAATAAAGTTATCAGGTTTAATGGTAATCCCGTGATGATCGACGCAGTCCAAGACTTGTAGGAGGTGGTGTAAGTGCCCTTCTGGCGTGGCACCGGGTATAAGAAAATCGTCGATATCGGCAAAAACAACTTTTAGGCCACGGAGGATCTGGTCCATGGAGCGCTGAAAAGGCTGTGCTGCATTGCAAAGTGCAAGATACATACGAATGAAATTGTACAAACCGGAAGGTGTGATAACGGCCGTTTTAGCAATGTCTTCTGGTGCTATTGAAATCTGACGGTACGCTCAAACAAGATCAATCTTGGAAAAGACGTATTTCGCAGACCGTACCAATGAAAAATTATGAATGTGAGGCGTAGCGTGTCTGTCAAGAATGGTACCGGTGTTGAGTGCCCGGTGCTCACCACAGGGACGACAACCACCGGACTTTTTGGGTACAAGATGAAACAGGGAAGCCCAACAACTGTTGGATAGGCGGATGATACCGAGGTTGATCATGTGTTCGAATGCACGTTTAGCCGCTTGAAGCTTGTCAGGTGGAAGACGTCTCGGTTTGGCTGACACGGGTGGACCCGTTGTGATGATATGATGACCAACTTGGTGTCTTGGCTCGGTAAAGTCGGTATTAGTCCAGGCAAAGGACGGGAATTGCTGAAGAAGTGATGAATACTGCGAACTGTCGGGCATGAATACGAGAAGTCCGACGGAAGTGACTGAGCGAGATGGCAAGGGACAATGAGCTAAGCGCTGTCATCCCGTAACTTCCTGCAATGTAGCTCGACCACGAGGCCAAACTTGCTAAGGAAGTAGATACTAAGTATGCGTCTTCTGGACGTGTGCGATGGTAAAGATAAAAAGGAAGTTGCGTCGCAAACCAAGACTTAAGTGCGAAAGCTTCTGGCTGCATGTCGCAATCTTGGTCTGGTTAGTCGCCTGGTTGCAGAAAGCGTTTTTCCAAAAATCGTGGTATAACGCTGATCTCTGCGCCCGTATCGACCAAGATATGATGTTTACTCGTGGAGTCAAACACGTACAGAAAGCGAATGAGGACTTGGCCAGCGACAGCCTTAGCCGTGGCGCGGACCACGAGTTCTTCGGTTAATAATGCCTCCACGTCGGGTAGCAGACCAGACGAGTTCTAAACAGGCGATTCTAGCCTTGATTGAATCAAGCGTAGTGCCATGGGATGAGTTGGCTGTGGTGGACTCAGCTACATGATTAAGTATGCTTAAAGAAACATTCTTGTGTTTTGTCCGCAGCTTCCGAAAGCTTTTCTAAAGTGATACCGTCGATAAGAGCTGCTAAAGTCGCAGTGATGTTTGCCGGAAGGCAATTCGTCCAAAGTTGGCGGAATATGGAATTGCAGGTTTCGCTGAAACAACTAGGGAACGCATGTGTCTAAGAAGCTGAGATGGGGTGCGATCGTCAAGCTCGAAGCCAGAACCTAACTGTTGCAGACGAGTCTCGTCAGACGCAGTGGTGCGTTTAAGGATAGCTGCTTTAAGTTTATCATACGGCGCTGCTGCAGGCACAGAACAAAGGATACCAATAACTTCAGAAGCAATGGAGACAGGTAAGCGCGAGAGGACGTATGAAAACATGAAAGATTGTGAAGTGATCTTACGACATCGGAATGTGGCTTCTAGCTGAACAAACTATATACGTGGATTAGAAATGTCAAACGTAGGAAGCGTGTTTGACGGAATAGTCAGTAAAAGCACACGGGGTCTGAAAAGACATGAATAAAAAACCATACGTATTCGCAAAAATGAAGGTCACCGATTTATGTAGTGTTCGAAAGGATACTAGGAAGCTTTTAGTTCCTTAGTAAACACAAACTTCCGAAAAGAGTCCACTCACAGTCTAATCAGAGTTGAGTTCGAATCGTAGATTGCACCATATCTGTGGCACACGTCGAACACGACGGAAATAGGCGTCCGATAGTAATTCAGAGTCTAATATCCAATTCGCAAGAAGACTGAACGACAACGTGCACAGGCAAAGCGTCGGATCCGCCAACCGCGATCAATGATCTTTAGGCAGTGTGATTGTGGTACACAAGGTTGTATGTTGATAAATGCAAATTTTGGGCCTTCCGACGCATGTGTGTGTTTATTATTATGTTAATCTCTTTGTTAATATGCTAAGAGGAAGATTAGAAATAAATAAACTGAACGGTTTAAATGAGTAACGGTGATTAATCATTATCCCGCTTCTAGCGAAAGCAGCCATTGTGGATGACTCATGTGCATTCCGACGTATCTTAAAGGGCCCATATCGACTTTTCAGCGATGAATGAGGATTTGAAAGTTTTTCAGATGGAAACGGCGGCATCGTTCATTCGTCGGAGCGTTAAAACTGCGAAAGCTTACCAAAGGGTGACTGCAAAGGTATTATCGGAAGGATGGCCTTACCGACATATTAAGTTTGTGTGCATGCATAGCAAGCGCTCAAATTTTGCTGGAAAGCGGTTAGTGTTGTGAATCCGCCTGATGAATGTGTTTTAACAGGTACCGGTGTTACAATTGTCCTGCTCGGTTCTCAGCGGTTTCTTTTTTGCGAAGCTGTTCTCAGCTTTCGTTTGGCCCCATCTGGAATACTGCGTCCAGGCTTGCGCGCTCTGCCTTGTTCGAGACAAAATGGAGCTTGAGAGGGTTTTGAGAGTAGGTACCAAATTGGTCGAGGGGTTACGGGGGCAATCGTACCCCGAGCGTCTACTTAGCTTGGGTATGTATTCAATGCACTACCGACAGCTTCGAGGAGACCTAATCCTTACTTACCGCATTTTAACAGGGAAGGTTGAGCCGGACTTGCGTTGGCTATTTAGCCAGGCTAGGTTGCCTTGTCTTCGCGGTCATCCCATGAAGCTACACAAGCCGCGTTCTGACCGGATCAGGGCGGAAATTCGGTTATCGCGTAGAGTTATCGAGCGCTGGAACTCGCTTCCAGAAAATGTAGCCAGTGAACCTACGGTTAAGGGTTTCGAGCGTCAGTTAGACCCTCTTGAGTGGCAACAAGGAACCTTTTCCTTCTCCTGACCATATCCATCTTCAAACTTTCAGTTCTTATTCTGTCATTATCTTCACTCTTTGGTGTTATCCTTCATTTTAATGACTTTCATTCTCCTTTATCTTCCATTTACTTTCTATTTCTTTCTTACTTCACGTAACCTACACAGCGCGGACTGCTAGTGCAGGGAACGTGGGCAGTAATTGGTTGATCAGGGTGTGTTTCGGGTGTTTCGTTTTAGAGCTATCAAGAACTAACACCTTATCATTTCCTGGCTCAACGATTTGCTCAAGAAGAAACACTCAAGGGAGTTTCCTATCGTTCCAATCCATCTGAACCTGAATCGGAATCTGAAGGGGTAATGTTACGAGATTGGATAGGCCTGTCTTCGCCGTTCGCAAAGTTTTCACGTGGGAAATCTTGGCTGTATGCCAAAATCGGCGGCCAACAGCGGATCAGGAAAGCACGGTGCATGACCTGATCAAGACGATCCGCAGGACGCAGGAGATGCGTGCATTTATGCGTCGTAGTGTACCGGAAAAGAAGCTCTTTCAGTATTTTGTAACATTGCATTTTACGGTTGTTTTAACCTTCGAAACGTCCATTTGTTTTACTGACTGCACGTCGGTTGACCCCAACCGGTTTGGTGAGTACCTCGCTGCACGTTTCTCGCTCTGTCTGATTCGCTTCCTATTCTTGTGGCCTGCACAATATACGTTGGGTTCAGTCGCCTCCGACTTCTATACTGTCGTATTTGACATGTATTACGTGTCACTGCTTACCGACTAGGATCCCAGGCTCCTTCCATCAATTGGTGACCCCCTCTCAGGAACACGCCGTCCGCCATTGTGAATTTTCATTCTGGTGAGCTCGTTCTAGTGCTTTTCTGATTCCTTACTCGCTAGCGTTTTGTTTTCTTACTTGTCGCATTTAAT